CTGAGCCACTCTCAATCCTGCTGTGGCTTACAAGTTGGCAACAGGTATTGGTGTGAGAGAATGGGTGACAGCACCCACGAGTGGGTAAGGAATTGTGCATAATTCAGTCTATCATCTCTATGCAGCAAGCACTGAAAGTAGCCCTTACAGAGCAACAACCTAAAACATTATCTGTCAGGTGGGAAGCATCAGGAAAAAAGCTGGAAGGGAAGCTTCAAGGAAAAAGCCAAAGTGCTGCTCTGCAAAGCTTTCCCCACATGGTAAACAAATATTATAGAAAATGCAACTATTTCTATTTTTCAACTAACAAAGGGCTATTCACTAAGCACTTTCTGGTGTGCTCAAATGTACATGAGTGCAAGAGAATAAATCAGAAGACACTGGGTCTTTTCTTTGAAAAGAGTGTAATATAAATATGAGCTTTCATAATTATCTTCAGTATGATGAATACTAATCAATACTGGTTAACTGTATATAACTTTACAAGCAATGAAAAAAGTCATCTTTCTGGTTAGGATGAAGATAACTTACTCAGAATTCAACATCTCAGAACTTCATAGAATGCTGGCAAAGGAAATCTGAGGTAGAATAATTTATTTCAATATTTTCTTTGTTTTCAAATGATTAATTTACATCTGTGTATAAGCCCAGCCAGACACTAATAGTAAGCACCCTCGCATGCACATTAGGTACTTCTTGTGAAAGTGCTATGGTGATCTGACCCAGGCAGAGCTGTCTCAAGAGGGAGAGGGTTGGGTTCTTCGCAGGCTTTGAGAAAAGGTTGCTAGTTGAGAAAATGATCAGTAGACACAGAGAAATAAAATAAAGATCAAGAGAGAGACAGAGATAGTAGCCAAAAAAATACTTCAACAAATTGCCAAGTCTTTAAGTCATATAGTTCTGCTGTTTCAGCTATTGTTGAATCAGGTTGTAACCTCTAGATAAAAAAAGTCCAGCTATTCATTTTGCTATCCCCTCAAGTCATCTAGTCCTAAAAGAGAGAAATTGGGGTTCATCTGATTTGTTACTCTCCAGATTTAAAAATATATATATTTTAAGAGTACTCCACAGGAGTACTGAGAAGAATATCCTGAAAAGTAGGAAGAAGAGTCTACATTTCAATGTCAAAAGCATAAAAGGAGTGGAAAGAAAGAAAATCAGAGACAGCCAGGCAGTACTTGAAGAAACTGCAAACAAAGAGAAAATGGTGGCAGTAGAGGGTGGAGAGAGGTTTCCTATTCCCTCTCCTACCAACCTCACAGAACTTGACTTTTGGTTGTGTATTTTTCAGAATCATGATTTCAGGTTTGGGTATAAAATAGCCCCTTACTTGCTACACCCAGCCAGCTTTAAGCTCCCTCTTGAGCAGAGTTCTGAATGAAACTGGTAGTCTCGATAGCACCATGACAAAAAAAATAATAATAAAATTGTCCATGCCTCTAACTCCACCAAGAGTAGTCACACTAGAAATACGAGTGAGGAGGCCAAGGAATTCTTTGTTTTAAATGTGTACATGTACAGCAGATGAGCAAATTACCTCAGGTAGAAAAACCCTTAAAGAAAATTAAATGTGCCAGCAAATTCAATCTATTAACTTAAATTTTACAGGTGAAAGAATGTAAGTCTGATGAGGTAAAATTTGCACTGGCAAGAAAGCACCACAAGGTGAGCTTGCAATTAGAAAGTTGTAAGGTTCTTCAAAAATATGTGTCACTGATGTTAGCCTTTGGTAGACCTGAGAGAGATACTCTGTAGACAAAAAAGAGAAGCCTTCCGAGGCTACATCTTGCACACATTAGAAAAAGATACCAGCCAGTGTAGCTATTTGGTTCTCAGATTTTGATTATTGGTACCCAGAGAGAACCCACCAGTGATTTGCTGACTATGGAGAAAGGATTTTTTCTCAACATACTGATCCTCAAGGCCCATGGACAGAGGGTCAGTCTATCTTGATCCCAAAGCAAAATCCTGCTTTAAAGAACAGACAAACTGCTCTGTTAAAGGTTGTCACAAAGAGTTGCTTGACAACTGAGGAGGGGAAAGGGTATGAAAAGGGGATAAAATGACTTATTTCAAAATAACTAATAGAGAAAGACGGTATTTGCCAATCTTAAAGCACTACTCAAGTATTAGTTATTATGAAGAGCAGAACCAAATACCAAGAGAAAATTTAAATTTTCTTTTTGCAAATGGATAAGTTATTTAAACCCCAATTCTAATTTCTTGTTCCTCTGAGCCTTAACTACCAAGAATAAATATTTGTCATATTATTATTCTGTTTCCCAGAATATAAAGGGCATTACTTTTGTTAAATCGGACAGTGGTCAATGAACGAAGTCGTAGTCTTGTTTGATCTCTGAAAGAAGACAGCTCCAAAAATTATCACCAGGATTGCACATAACCCCCATCACTTTTTATGATTCCTTCTGTTCAAACCACATGGTAAATTAAGAAAATAAAAACCACCTCCAGCCTCTCCTCTCTCCCCAGAAACATTGTAAATATATAAAAACATAATTATTCCACAAGTTACTAAAGTTTAAAAAATTTCCACTTCTACAATTAACTAATGTCTGAACACACAAATGCAGTTGGAAAAAGGGGAAAATCCAATACATATTATTGGAGACCTCTAGAATTTTGAGATTTTTAAGTCAAAGTTGGCATGCAATACAGAGAAGGTAGAAGCTCTGGGTTTGGCTTTTTGAAAATCCCTTGCCTTTTACTAAATCATGCCTCTATGAAGTGAGGGGAGGAAAGAAAAGTAAGAAAATATCTATTTTTAGATTGGGATTGGTTGTATTCTGATGAAGTTGGTATTTCAAAAAAACTGACTCAAGAATTTTCTATACTGTAGAAATGATTTTTTTTTGTCAACCCACAGGATAGGAACTCCAGTTTTCCCTTTCACCAGACTGCCATAACCACTGCAACAATCAGAAACCATGGAAGATTCAATAATCTGGTACTTTTGTTTGAATACTGAAAAGTTGTCATTAGTTAAGGTCATTAATTTAAGCAAGTCTTTCTAATAGAGAACTTTTTCTATTAAGACCTGGGATAAAATCACCTATCTTACTGCACACCTGATAGTAAGGAACATTTTGCTCTCGATAAACACTTCCTGAACATTTAAGGTTGTCTCTTGGAAGGTACTCATTCCTTAATAAATATGTGTAATCGTACATTTCCTCCCTGTTAACTGAGTTAGTTGGAGGGGGCATGCAAAAGAGGGAAGGTTCCAGTGTCTGGGTTTAGCCTAATGGTAGGTCAGGAAGAACCTTTGATATCCCCTGCCCCAGAAAAGGTCACAACAGAAGAGGGCTTCACTGACTAGGGACAGCCCTTCCAAAAGAATAATTAACCCTACCAAGTAAATCTATTCTTAGAAAAATGAAAAAGGCCTTTTATCTGACAGTATAACCACTTCACAAAAAATGCTATAAAGAAACCCTTTAAAAATCCTGTAAGTGAAACTTTAAAACCCTAATAGAATGTAAAGATTGGTAAGAAGATGTTTTTTTCAATAGCCCAGAAAAAAATTTAAGGAAATCTTATCCTTCGCTCTCTTTTTTAACACCATGCTATCAATTTTCCAAGAACAGAAGCATCAGTGAAAGGAGGTAAACTGTTTGATTTAAGTTGCCAAAGATGCTAACACTAACAATGAAATTTGAAAAGCCACAGATAAAAATAACACAGATATAGTCAAGAACAGCTATATGCAGAACAATGTACAAGTCAATGGGGACACCAGGACCCAGCAAACCTGAGGAGTTAGTTCCACAGTCAATACAGTCCCTCCCTCACAGAGATAAACTAATATATCAGTTTGTTGCAAAAAAAATCATCAACATGATCTGCAAGAAAATGAAAAACTGTGGTAGGGAAGATTTTTATTAATCAAGATGAAACTGACTGCCTCTTTTCTCATTTTCTAATTAAAACTTTTGGGCAAGATTATAGCTTATAGGTCCCTAACAGTTCTTATTCAATTTGTTAAAGGTAACAGCTCATGTTTGAAAATATTCTTGGAATAAAGGACTGTATTGAAACGCCTTACTCCTTCCTCCCAAAATCAGATTTCTGAGCATTCTGGAATTGCAGGAAATACTTTAAAACTTTTTCCAACACTTTTATAAATCAGACTCAAGTCTGGTTAAAGCCTTTACTTAAAAAAAGTTCTCTTTATAGATCTGATGCAAACCTGAAGTAGAGGACTGAGGATCTCTTATAATCCACAGAGAAAAATAAACTATTTACAAGAAAAAAAAAAAACCCAAGCAGCTACTTCCAACATAGTTAAACTGTGAGGGTAAATACTGTCCAGTGTTCACTAAGAAAATTGTCCTTAATCGTGCCTGGTTGGATTCTCTGTGCTGACCTCCAGTCCCTGGGCGAGACTTCAATTGTTGCCAGGGAAGGAATTTCACCACTTCTTCACGCAGCGGGCCCTTAGAACTCAGAGACCACCTTGTTCGTCTAATCCCACACTCCATTTTATCTCTTTGAAGGAGGCGGGCTGAGAAAATCTTAGGCCAGTCGTTTTGCCTCGAACCTGCCAAGACTGGTCACAGGCTGGAGGGCAAACTTTTCCAGGTTCATGGATTTGGGGAGTTGAAGAGAAAAATTAGTGGAGGGATTAAGGGCTTTATTTCCGACAGTAGCCCTTGCAATTGGATTTAAATTTGGAGACCTGGGGAGTCAGGCAGGATTTTAGGAGGCTGGGAGTGGAGAATTGTCAAGGAATTTGGAAGGGCACGAACGAACCAGCACCCAGGGTCTTAGCAGCAGTTATTGGGACGAAGAATGAGGGTTCGGACTACGGTGAAATCTTAGGCAGGCCTGGAGTCCAGGTAAAGCTCCTGATTTAGGGCAGCCCTTCCTATGGAACTCCGTTTGGGCTCTCCCAGTGGCAGAGTGTTCACGCGGAGAGAAGATATACCCCACAACACGGACTGACTTAAGGCTGAAAGACATTTCTAAACGGGGAAACTTACCGCATGTCCCCGTAAGATCCAGAGTAGCTCTCCATCCAGGGGCTCATCTCGCTTTTGACACAATTGGGACTTGAATACGGCACTCTACTGACCATGCCGCCAGGATACCACACATCAGATGGGGGGAAGTCGCCTTCCTGACCAGCCAGCCCTTGAGGAGGCCGAGTATAGCCATAGGGGGCTACAGCCCCTGCCTCCCCTGTGCTGCCGCCACCACCACCGCCACAGGGCCCATACAGCTGGCTTTCTTCACCCGAGAAAAGAGTGTGCCAGGAAGAGGAGGCAGCTGAGGGTGAGCCTGAGCTGGGTCCAGCTACACCCCCGCCGTGCAGGCTGGCCAGGTCCCCATAGCGGAATTGCGCCGCTGCAGCTGCCCAAGCGCTGCCATAATCCAGGGAGTTCTCCAGCTTGATGCGGGCTTGAGGATGGTGAGGCTGCGGAGGGGGCGGCGGCCCGGCCAGGGCTAGTGAAAAGTTATAGTAGTCGCGACTCTGATAAGCCGCTGCCTCTTCCAGTGCTCCAGACTTGTAGAGAGACAGGGCGGATGGCAGCTCAAGTGTTCCGGAGAGTCCTGTTTCAGCGCTGCTAGAGCAGCCCAGGCTCTCGCCTTCCAGCCCTTTTGGGTAACCTGCCTTGAATGGGGAATACTCAGAAGTCTCTTCGGTGCCCTTGCCTGGGCCATCATCCAGCAGAGAACCTTTGCATTCAGCCAGCTGGGCACAAGTAGGACGCACAGAAGGTGGACCTCCCAGGAGCGGAGCATACATGCAATCCCCTCTAAGCTGTTCCCCAGGACTCAGATGCTCCAAAGCCTCAACGCCCAAGCCCATAGATACCGACACTGCCTTACACAACTCCTTGGCGCTGTCCGAGATGGCAGAACTGCCCCCTAAGTAATTGTCCTTGGAGGACGTTGGAGCCCCAGCGGCCTCCCTCGCTCTCCCACTGCTGCTGGCTTCAGATACTACCTCCTGCTGCTGTTGCTGCTGCTGCTGAAGCAGTTGCATGGTGCCGGCCTCGCTCAGGATGTCTTTAAGATCGGCGGAGCAGCTGCTTAAACCCGGGAAAGTGGGGCCCAGCAGGGACAACGTGGATGGGGCAGCTGAGTCATCCTCGTCCGTAGGTGTTGGCGGCTGCTGCTGCAGCCCCTTGCCGGCAGCTGAGGGGAGCCCGGGCTCCGATATGCAGCCACTCTCCGGGTGGCCCTCGGGAACTGACTGCTGTTGTGAAGGCTGCTGTTCGTTCTCCAGGGCCAGGTAGCCTGTGGGGCCTCTGCTCTGGGCTTGGGGAGATCCATCTTCACCCTGCTGTTGCTGCTGCTGCTGGGCACTGGTCTCCTGTTGCTGCTGTAAATGGGCGCCGGGAGGTGCTGCGCTCGCGGCCTCGGGGTGCCGGGGTCCCGGAGTCTGGACCACTTCTCGCACGCTCTGGAACAGGTTCTGGAAAGCTCCTCGATAGGTTTTGGACGGCGGTCGTGGGTAGAGCCTCCCCAGCCCTAACTGCACCTCCATCCTTGAGCTTGGTTGTATCTTCCACCTAATTCCTTTATCCTGTTTCCCCTTCTCTTGCTGAGAAGAGTTCAACAGGCTGTGATGCGGTAGTCACTGCAGCTAGCTACCCACCTGAGGAAAGCTCCTGGGAAAGAAACTTGCAGGAATAACCACAAGAAATTTCTCTGACGGCCTCAAAGTCTTGTGCAGAGGAAAACACACGCGTTGGACAAAATCTACCCTGCTAGGCTCACAGTCTGTTCCTCAATACTTGGAGGGTAGATTCAATAGATGCTCAGATCTTGAAAGAAAAAATAAAAAGAAAACTCTCGGTCTTCCAGACTGTGTCCACTGAAGCAGGTGCAAATCAGAATCTGGTTATTGTTTTTCTCCCCCCTTCCCTTTGGTTTTGTTCAGGTTTGAATGGGGTTTTTCTGTTTGTTTTTGTTTTGGGCTACTGAAGACCTGATTGCCTTTTCATCCTTTGATCTTTGGTCCCGAAAAATGGCTAGAGGGCGGGGGCATGCAGGGCCAGGTGGAGAGGGAGTGAGGGGAACTTAGGGGCTCACCCCGCGTGTCGCCTAACCAGGCAGGTCTTGGCTGCACAGCTGAAGCTTCTCCGAGATCGCCTAGCTTCCCCAGAGCCCTCTTCCCAATGTAGAGCTAGCTTGTCTGCTCGCGGCCAAAGGGAGTTACCTCTCTGCAAACTCGGGCTGGCCGCGCTGGGCTGACTAGAGTGGAGGGGAAGTGTGTGTGGGGGGGTGGGGTAGAGGGGAGCGGGTGGAGGCAGCAGCAAGAGAGGAGCCCCAGGAAGGGGCAATGGGGTGGAGGGGAGGAAGACAAAGGCAGCCGTCAGTCCTACCCGGGACTTTCCTCTCTTCCTCCGAGTCTCTAGCAGCTTTCAAAAACTTCACCGCAGAGAAAAGCGTAGCTCCGGGGCGGCGGCTTCGAAGCTGCGGGGCTGCAAGAGGCGTTGGCAGCCGCCACAGCCCAGCTGGGGCTGACACTGGCGTCCCTTCGGCTCCTGTCCCGCACTGGAGCGGCTAGCTTAGTCACTTTCCCTCCGCTGCCTCCTCTGCCTCCAGGTGCGACCCTTAGCCTCTCCCAGGCTCCCTGAGATCTCAGAGGGTGAGCTGGGAAGTAGAGAGCAAATGCAACAGTTTGCGAGTCCGGTCCCGCCCCCACCGGGCCGGCCTCCTTGCCTTCCCACCTCCTTTCTCCCTCCCCTCCCCTTTCCTTTTTTTCCCCTCCCCTCCCCTCCCCACCCTTCCCTTCCCTTCGCTCCCCTCCCCTCCCCACCCTGCGCACTAATGCCGTGTGACGGGAGAAACAAGTGCTGGCGCAGCGTGGTGAAAGTAGAAGAGGATCGCTGTAGTCCAGGAAGACCTTAGTTCCCTGGTATCTCCTGCTTTCCCAAACCTGGTTTTAGGCGCCAGGGCTGAAGCTTTAACCCAGGGCTTTATTTGAGGACAGGACTAGCGCAGCTTTCCCAGAGGCCAGCACTTAGGGATTTGGTTCCGAAGTTCAATCTCAAAACAGACACTGTGCGTGTGTGGGAGGGGCAATAGGAGTATCAGCCTCTTAGACTAGGGGCTATATTTAACGCAGACTGAAAAGTGCGGACTGGAGGGTCTTTTACAAACTGAAGACAAGCTATTGCCAAATCAGCAGATACTTGTTGAAATCTTTCAGATTCCTCCCTAGGCAGTGATTGGGCTTCGTGGCATGGTACCAGTTTCTCTAGGAACTCTCTCTCTGGGAACCAGTAATCATCTCTGCCTCTTTTCTTCCCCCTTTCCTGTCTGGAAATGCCTCCAAACTCACACACTTCTCACCTACCCAAATGTGCAAAGGCAAAATCACCCAGGCAAACAGGCAAACACACAAACACCAAACACTCATGTCATATGCACAAGGACCTCAATTTTGTCCAAGGTGTTGCAGACGTTTGTTACATACAGGCAATTCCTTTTCTAAATTGCTTTTGTATATTTGTAAGCTTGCAAGCTGCACTATTCAAAGACTGGGACCTACACAGGACTGCTTTTCTTCCTCTTGGTGGACAGCCAGTAGTGGAAGGTACATGGGATACTGCAGTTTCTCTTCTGTAGAGAAGGTCTTATAGTCCCTGCAGAAAGATGGAGAGGCAGGTGGAAATGAAGTAGTGGAGGCAATGAAAGGGTAGACCTATAGAGAAGGAGGTTTCCTTTTTTGTTGACAGGCCCTGTGCCTTCCCAGCTTTTAAATTCCTTAGACTTTCGGATCTGGCTGGATCTATCTGTCCCAGGCTTGTGGAGATTTTCATCTAGTCCTGTTCTACTTTTTACAAGCATCTACAATGTCTTTATGTTTTTCACAGCCAAGCATCATAAGCATTTATTTTCCCTGACCAAAGGAGGTAACTTAATCCTAAAGGCAGAGAAGAAATAGTATGATCAACTCTATTTTCCAACGAAGACATTGAAGCAAGGACACAATTTGTTGTCTTCCACATTAGTAGAACCTTAACTAGTCTTCCACCTCATTGCTATTTTAGCTAGACTCATCAATGTCAAGGGCACTTGGAAAAGGGCTATAAATGAACTTTACAGAACCCAAAGGCCTGAGGAGGTAAAAAATTATTCCCTAGGATTTTAATGGCCCAAGCTTTACCTGGTCATATCCCAAATACAGTCTCCTTTCTTGGTGAGGAATTTCACAAATCACTCCTTATGGTAAAGGAGCAGCCTATTCATAGAAATGTCTAACTGTAACAAAACTAATTCTCAATTTCCTAATGTAATGGGAAACAGGAATATGTAATTTAAATGCAGATATTTTGAAAACCTATTTGAATAGGTGGAAACTCTAGTTCCACCAAACCTTTTTTTTTTAAGATAGAGAAAACCGTAGATTTGTTCTTACACTTATTTATGCATTCATTGGTTGATTCTTGTATATATCCTCACAGCTGGTGGAACTCTCAACCTTGGCATATGGGGGAAACACTGTAACCAACTGAGCAGCCAGGGCCCACAAAAGCTTTTTAACTAAGATTTCTCAGAAGTAATGGAGTCAACTGGGCTGGCAGGAAAATAGAATGGAAATAGCATAGGTCTCAGAGCCAGGAGAACTACTTGTCTACAAGCTGACTATAATCTTTCTTTCTCTCAGCTTCAGTTTCCTGCTCTGTGAAATGAGGAGAAGGGGAGGGGATTTTGTAACATTTAAACATTTAGAATGCTGTAACTGACTTGAGTTTTCTTATTTATATCCAGTAAAGGGTGGCTATGGAAGGGGTTGCTAACAGTAGGAAAATGACTAATGGACCGTTGTGAGAAGGGTAGTTATAAACAAAGTAGCCTAAACAAATAAGATGAGAAATAATTATCTGAACAATTTTCTGTTGAATAAATGACAACCAAACAGACATTTAAATCCAGGTCTGAATTACTTCAAAATTCATGTGGCTTCTACAGCATAAAAATTGTTTTCCCATCAGAAAATAGTGATCAGTACTGTATATTCTCAAAAGTCTGATGTGATAATTAAAGGAGATCACATATATGGAACAACTTTGTAAAAAAGAAAACATACAAATCTAAAGGGTCACTTTGTTATATTTTACTTTTAAAGTTGATGCTATAAACATTTCGATCATGGACAGGAAAGGCTAAGTACTGTGAACATAATAGGTGCATATAGTACTTGATTTTGAATTTAGAACTCTTATCTCCCATCTCAAATCTCATTTTTCTGTCCTTCCTTTAAAATCAAGAGGCCCTGTTGAATATTATGTAAATTATGTGCTTGTACCTTCCATCTTCTTCTCTTTCTTCTTTTCCTTCCTCTTCTTTGCATTTATTTTTAGCAAGTCAGTAACCAGTGAAGGAGACTTTGCTAATGGAATTTTCCCTAGTTTCTTGTTCTGTGAAGCCAGAATTATCTGACCTTTGGAATATGGTAGACATTCTCCAAATCCTGTGGGTTTTACTTCCTGTATACCTCACAAGTTTGCCTACTTTAGAGCAGTTTAAGGTTTACAACAAAACTGAGGGGAAGGCACAAAGATTTCCCATATACCTCCTGCCCCCACACATGCCTAGCTTTCTCCATTATCAACATCTACAACTAGAGCAGTGCATTTGTAATGATTGCTGAACCTATCTAGATACTTCAAAATACTCAAAGTCCATTGTTTACATTAGTGGTTCTCTTGGTAATATATATCCTATGAGTTTGTACAGATATATATGATGTGTATCTATCATTATGGTATCATACAAAGTATTTCTACTTCCCTAAAAACCTTTGTTTGTGCTCTGCATATTTATCCCCACACTAATCTTCTCACTTTCTCCACAGTTTTGTCTTTTCTGCAATGTTATATAATTGGAATCACACACTTTCAGAGTGGCTTTTCTCACTTACTAATTTACATTTAAGTTTCCTCCATGTCTTTTTATCCCTTGATAGCTCATTTTTTAAGTACTCAATAATACTTCATTTTTTAGATGTACTACAATTTGTTTATCAATTCATCTACTGATGGACATCTTGGTTGCTTCCAAGTTTGGGCAATTATTAACAAAGTTGCTGTAAACATCATGCTCAGGTTTTTGCATGGACATAAGTTTTCAACTCCTTTGGGCTGAAATACAAAGAAGCATAATTGCTGTACTGTTTAGTAAGAGTATGTTTAGTTTATAAGAAACCACCAAACTGTCTTCCAAAGTGACTGTACCATTTTGCTCTCCCACCAGCAATGAATGAGTGTTCCTGGTAGTCCACATCTTCACCAACATTTGGTGGTGTCAGTGTTTCAGATTCTGGCCATTCTGGTAGTAGTATATCATTTTTTAATTTGCATTTCCATGATGACATATGATATGAAACATCTTTTCATATACTTATGTACCATCTGAGTATCTTCTTTGCTGAGGTGTCTATTATAGTCTCTGGCCCATTTTTTAATCAAGTTGTTTGTTTTCTTATTGTTGAGTTTCAAGAGTTCTGTGAATATTTTGGATAACAATCATTTATTTACATGTCCTTTGCAAATATTTTTCTGCCAGTCTGTGGCCTCTATTCTCATTCTCTTGGCATTGTCTTTTGCAGAGCAGAAGTTTTTAATTTTAATGAAGTCTAGTTTATTAATTATTTCTTTCATGGATCATGCCTTTGGTGTTGTACCTAAAAAGTCATCACCACATCCAAGGTCATCTAGGTTTTCTCCTATGCTGCCTTCTAGGAGTTTTATAGTTTTGTATTTTAAATTTAGGCCTGTGACCTTTGTTGAGTTAACTTTTGTGATGAGTGTAAGGTCAGTGTCTACATTTTTTTTTTTTGCATGTGCTTGTCCAGTTGTTTCAGAATGATTTGTTGAAAAGACTGTTTTTGCTACATTGTATTGCCTTTGCTTATTTGTAAGTAATCACATGACTATATTCATGTAGGTCTATTTCTGGGCTTTCTATTACAAAGGGATTTTTAAAGAACAACCTTATTAAGGTACTTGAGCTACAATAAACTACACATATTTAAGTTTGAACAAATTTATAACTTTTTACATTTGCATATACTCATACAACCATCATCCAATAAAGGATGAAAATATTCCTCACCCCAAAATTATCTTTATTGCTCCTCTTCACTTCCCCTCTCCACCCCTTCCCACACTCCCTTTCTGGTAATCAGTGATCTGTTTTTTGTCACCGTAGATTAATTTTCATTTTCCAAAATTTTATATCAATGGAATCATCACCATTTTTTAATCTGGCATTATTTACTCATCATAATGCCCTTGATATCCATCCAAGCTCTTGTGTGTATCAGTACTTTGTTTTTTAGTGGTAAGAAGTTTTCTGTTGTGTGAATGTACCACAAATGGGTTTGCTTACCCATTTGTTTGTTGATGGCATTTGGGTCCTTTAAAATTTGGGCTCATTATAAATAAAGCTGCTATGAACATTTATAAATACATCTTAGTATAGGCATATGCTTTCATTTCTCTTGACTCTATATTTAGTAGTAGAATGGGTGGGTAACAGAGTAAATGTATATTTACTTTTTTAAGTAATTGCAAATTGCCCTCCAAAGTGATTGCAATATTTTGCATCCCCACCAGCAGTTTTTATACATCCTCACCAATGCTTCACATGGTCAGCTTTTGATTTATTTTTTGTTTTTAATTAATTTATGAAGGTGACATTGGTTCATAAAATCAAATGGGTTTCCAGTGTACAACTCAACAAAACATCTGCATACTGCATCATGCACTTACCACCCAAAGTCAAGTCTCTTTCCATCACCATTTATCCCCACTTTGCCTCTTTCACCATCACCCACTCCCCTTTCTCTTTGGTAATCACCATGCTCTTATCTGCATCTGTAGGGGTTTTTTTTGCTTAATTCCTTCACCTTTTTCAGCCAGTTCCCCAACTCTCTTCCCTTCTTGACAGCTATCAGTCTGTTCTAGGTGTGTATGTTTCTGTTTCTATTTT